AATCATGAAAACTATATTTTTAACACTACAGTGACATAAAATTGCTATTATCAATCTACCAAGCATAACTTCACTTTTGTTACTTGTTTGCCTGGCTTCTAATCTTCAGTTTACAAAGATGAACATTATGTAGATGCTAAAGGCAGTTGGTAATATGTCTAATAAATAACCCCATATTCATGTACAGTTACTTGGACCAACTGAATATGCTTAATAAAAAAGATTAACTTAGGTGGCCTGTGAAGTCTCTCACTGACCTGATTTGTTTGAAGGATTACCAGAATAAGAGACACACACTCTCCCATAGGTTATTGTCAGAACAAAATGCAAACATTTGTCCTTCTAAAAAAGGTTAAGCATGGTCAGTGAGCTAAACAATATCGATATAATTTCTTAATGAGAAAGCTGAAAACTTAGAAAATACAAAATGACTCTTTCTGAGCTTTTGGACAGTTGTTGCTTTTGAGGAGATGCTTTAAAGGCCTGTATTGTTTTTGAGCTGTTGTGTGTGTTTTAAGTCATCTCCAATTTATGGCAACTCTAAGGCACATCTATTATAAGGTTTTGTTGGCACAATTTGTTCAGAGGGGGTTTGCCTTTACCATCCTGAGGCTGAGAATATGATTTTCTTAAGGGTGTCTATTGGGTGCCCATTGCTAAGAAGGGATTCAAACCGTTATTTCCAGACTCATAGTTGAACACTCAAATCATTCTTTTCAGAATAGAAGACAGTCTCTCAACACCACACTGTTATGCCATGTCAAGATTAATTCCACTCTTTTCTTCTTTGATGTTATTTTCAGAATAGAACATTGTATAATTTGTTGTTCATTCGTTCAGTCGTCTCCGACTCTTCGTGACCTCATGGACCAGCCCACGCCAGAGCTCCCTGTCGGCCGTTACCACCCAGCTCCCTCAAGGTCAGTCCAGTCACTTCAAGGATGCCATCCATCCATCTTGCCCTTGGTCGGCCCCTCTTCCTTTTGCCTTCCACTTTCCCCAGCATAACTATCTTCTCTAGGCTTTGCTGTCTCCTCATGATGTGGCCAAAGTACTTCAACTTTGTCTCTAGTATCTTTCCCTCCAGTGAGCAGTCGGGCTTTATTTCCTGGAGGATGGACTGGTTGGATCTTCTCGCAGTCCAAGGCACTCTCAGAACTTTCCTCCAACACCACCGTTCAAAAGCATCGATCTTCCTTTCGCTCAGCCTTCCCTAAGGTCCAGCTCTCACATCCGTAGGTTACTACAGGGAATACCATGGCTTTGACTAGGCGGATCTTTGTTGCCAGTCTGATGTCTCTACTCTTTACTATTTTATCGAGATTGGACATTGCTCTCCTCCCAAGAAGTAAGCGTCTTTGATTTCCTGGCCACAGTCTGCATCTGCAGTAATCTTTCCACCTAGAAATACAAAGTCTGTCACGGCCTCCACATTTTCTCCCTCTATTTTCCAGTTGTCAATCATTCTTGTTGCCATAATCTTGGTTTTTTTGACGTTTAGCTGCAACCCGGCTTTTGCGCGTTCTTCTTTCACCTTGATTAGAAGGCTCCTCAGCTCCTCCTCGCTTTCGGCCATCAGAGTGGTGTCATCTGCATATCTGAGGTTGTTAATGTTTCTTCCAGCAATTTTCACCCCAGCCTTGCATTCATCAGGCCCCGCACATCGCATGATGTGTTCTGCATACAAGTTAAAAAGGTTGGGTGAGAGGATGCAGCCTTGCCGTACGCCTTTCCCAATCTTGAACCAGTCTGTTGTTCCGTGGTCAGTTCTGACCGTTGCTACTTGGTCCTTGTACAGATTCCTCAGGAGAGAGACAAGGTGGCTTGGGATGCCCATCCCACTAAGAACTTGCCACAATTTATTATGATCCACACAGTCAAAGGCTTTAGAATAGTCAATGAAGCAGAAGTAGATGTTTCTCTGAAACTCCCTGCCTTTCTCCATTATCCAGCGGATATTGGCAATTTGGTCTCTCGTTCCTCTACCTTTCCTAAACCCAGCTTGAACATCTGGCAACTCTCGCTCCATGTATTGCTGGAGTCTTCCTTGCAGGATCTTGAGCATTACCTTACTGGCATGAGAAATAAGGGCCACTGTACGGAAGTTGGAGCAGTCTTTCGCATTTCCCTTTTTTGGTATGGGGATATAAGTTGATTTTTTCCAGTCTGATGGCCATTCTTGTGTTTTCCATATTTGCTGGCATATGGCATGCATTACCTTGACAGCATCATTTTTCAAGATTTTAAACAGTTCAGCTGAGATCCCGTCATCTCCTGCTGCTTCATTATTAACAATGCCTCTTAAGGCCCATTCAAACTCACTCCTCAGGATGTCTGGTTCTAATTCACTCACCACACTGTAAACTATCCTCCATATTATTATCCTTCCTATACAGATCTTCTGTATAGTCTCGCCACCTTCTCTTGATCGCTTCAGCTTCTGTTAGGTCCCTGCCATCTTTGTTTCTTATCATACCAATTTTTGCCTGAAATTTACCTCCAATGTTTCTAATTTTCTGGAAGAGGTCTCTTGTCCTTCCTATTCTGTTGTCTTCTTCCACTTCCATGCATTGCTTATTTAAAAATAGTTCCTCATCTCTTCTGGCTAACCTCTGGAATTGCGCATTTAACTGGGCATATCTCCCCTTATCCCTGTTTCCTTTTGCTTTCCTCCTTTCTTGGGCTACTTCCAGTGTCTCAGCAGACAACCATTTGCCTTCTTGGTTTTCTTTTTCTTTGGGACGTACTTTGTTGCCGCCTCCTGAACAATGTCTCGGACTTCTGTCCATAGGTCTTCTGGGACTCTGTTTACTAAATCTAGTCCTTCAAATCTGTTCTTCACTTCCACTGTATATTCGCTAGGAATGTTAGTGAGATCATATCTAACTGGTCTGTGTATTTTCCCTGATCTCTTTAGTTTTATTCTAAATTGGGCAATAAGAAGTTCGTGATCTGAGCTACAGTCAGCCCCAGGTCTTGTTTTCACTGACTGGATGGATGTCTGCCACCTTTGGCTGCAAAGGATGTAGTCAATCTGATTTCGGTGTTGACCGTCTGGTGAGGTCCATGTGTAAAGCCGTCTTTTAGGTTGTTGGAAGAGAGTATTCGTTATACACAGCGAGTTTTCCTGGCAGAATTCTATCAGCCTGCGTCCCGCTTCATTTTGTTCTCCCAGACCATGCTTGCCTGTGATCCCAGTTGTCATTTGACTTCCCACCTTGGCATTCCAGTCTCCTGTAATGAAAATAATGTCTCTTTTTGGTGGTATTATCCAGTAGGTCCTGCAGATCCTCATAGAACTGATCTACTTCTGCTTCTTCAGCAGCTGTGGTTGGGGCGTATATTTGGATCACTGTAATGTTGAAAGGCTTTCCTTGCACTCGAATTGAGATCATTCTGTCATTTTGGGTTGTATCCAAGCACTGCTTTAGCGAATTTCTTATTAATTATGAAGGCTACTCCATTTCTTCGATGTTCCTCTTGTCCGCAGTAGTAGATCTGGTGGTCATCTGATGTGAAGTGGCCCATTCCAGTCCATTTCAGTTCGCTGACCCCCAGAATGTCTGTCTTTAGTCTTGACATCTCACCAATAACAACATCCAATTTGCCCTGGCTCATAGATCTTACATTCCAGGTTCCTATGGTATGTTGATCTTTAGAGCATCGGATTCGTCGTTCACCTCCAGTACCGTCGGCTGCTAGCCTTCCTTTCGGCTTTGAGCTAGCTTCGTCATCACATCTGGGGCTAGTTGAACTTATCCTCTGCTCCTCCCCAGTAGCATTTTGGCCATCTTCCGACCTGGGAGTACCATCTTCCAATGGCATACCGACATATCTCTGGTTGTACTGGTCCATTTAGTTTTCTTGGCAAGGATACTGGAGTGGTTTGCCATTGCCTTCCCCAGGGATCACGCTTGGTCTGACCTCTCTGCCACAACCGTCCCGTCTTGGGTGTCCCTTCACGGTTTCGCTCATGACATCATTGAGGTGCTCAAGCTCCAGCGCCCCGACAAGGCGGTGATCCTTTGCTGGAGATTGTATAATTATCTAATTGAAAATATCAATTCTTATCTATTTTAGTTCACTCACACCAGGTTTGGCTATGCATATGTGCTCTGTTTTTTGTTTTTGTTTTTACAAATTCCAACTTTCACTGTTTATATCAGATAGGTTGAACAGCTTCAGACTTTTATTATCCATCTGTACATGTAAGCAGCTAAATGTCTTTTTAGCTTGAGTTCATTAGACACAGCACCACTAGTGCTTGTCCGCCACTTAAGCTTTCCTTAATATTCCCCAAACAACTAAAAATCTAAACACATCTATGATTTATTACTATGTCTGCTTAGTTCACTGCTTTTTAAATTGCTATTTTCTTTTGTACATCTTAAACACTCAGAAAAATCATGACACTAATACATTCCTTTGCAATCTATTTAACATCTTGAGAAGCCAAAGTGAACTGGAATGTTGAACTTATTTTATAAATGATTTTTGATGCTACTGCATGCTTTGCTGTGATATAAGCACGGCATCTTTAAAATTTTCATTCCAAGGTTATTTTGATACGAATTACTGATGAAGAGAGGTTGCAAGCATTGTACTGTTTACTTGCCTTGATTATAAGACACCCAGACAGAGTAAACAGCAAGTACAAGACACACAAATCTGTGTAATCTCTCAAAGCAGACTACACAAAATTAGGAAAACAAAGAATTGTTGCATGCAAAGCACAACAATCAGTCTTTTTTTAATGTGGACACGACACCAGCAAGTTCAACATGGAAGAAGAATATTAACTGAGAATGTACTGAAAAACAAACTGTGAACCTTCTTGAAGCTGGCAGAGATCGTATTGTTAACATACTTCTAAATAAAAAGCTCCAATGTTGAAATCTGCAACCTTATAGCACACAACCTAGAAGTTCTTTATCTTCTAGAACAATTATAATTAGATGAAGTCCCAAAAGCATAGTGAAGTGTTTGATAATATTACATACAGATGTATGAAGAATCAGATTTCCTTGTTCCTTCTTCAACAAAACATATCCTCCAATCTTCTAAATCTGCAACACAGAGTGTTGAAAAGCTCTTCTGAATGGGGTACACAGAGGGACAAGAGAGCCCTTCCACAAAATCAGACAAGATCTCCTTCCCTGAATAGAGCTCCCTCAACCCTATCTGCAATACTGCTGGAGAGGCTATCAAGGAGAGAAGAGAACAGGTGAAGTTGAATCCACCAAATAGTTAGATTGATCCTGTTCTCATGTTGCGCTTAAACAGCTAAATACACACTGAGCACATTATCCTGTTGAGACATGCTGACATACATTGTTGGAAGAATAAGACAGGAATATTCTTAAAACAACAATAATAAGGATTAGTCAATAAAAAGGAAGTTGCTTCAGTCATCGTAAGAAAGAACACCACAAATTTTAGACATCTAACATTCACATGCTATATTTGTCCATAGAAAATAGTCTTAGCATATTGTTATTCTTCAGTCAAATCCAACATTATGCTTTGAAAGGTTAATTTACCATTTAATGTTTGCTATGAAATAGGCATTTAAGACTTTACAGCCTTAAACCATGGAGGTTTTGCAGTATAAGGATTTTCTACCAGTGTGAAACAAACACAATTCCTCTTTTTTACATCAACAATCAACACAGACAGTCAATAGATAGCTGCTTCTGAAAAGTAAGTGTCCAATGATGATTATAAAGCGTTTTCATCTATAATCTGAAGTTTTATCTGTAATCTATAATCTGCAGCTCCAGCGAGCAATTATTTGTGTGCTAAGGGGCAATTATTACAGAGCCAGCATGGCTTGACAACTTCTAATTTTACACCCGTCACAATTAATTTAGCCTATAAGGCTTATATTGCCATTATGACAATAGTTACCACTGCCAAGTAATTACCTACCTCAGACAGAGAAATAGTGGGATACAATACAGAAATATCACATGGCTGCTCTGGGAGATGAAGTAATTGGTAAAGGTCAACTTTATTTTAAAGGTATTAGACATTAAAGCAAGAGAGCCATGTATAACCAAAGACAAAGTTAAGAAACAATTTGCAACAAAATGATGGCACATATATACACACACGCTACTCCAGGGATGCTCAAACTTTTAAAGCCGAGGGTCAGTTCATTGTCCCTCAACCTGCTGGGGGGGGGGGGGGCAGATTATAGTTTGGGGGAAAAAATGAATGCACTCCTATGCACATTGCATATGTCTTATTTGTTGTGCAAAGAACTCAACAACATGAAAGAACAATACAATACATAAAATGAAGAACAATTTTAACCAACAGAAATGTATCAGTCTTTCAATGGGAAGTGTGGGCCTGGTTTTGGCTGATGAGAGTGTCAAGTTAATTAGGATTGTTGTTGTGTGCCTTGAAGTTATTTCAGACAGTGGCATATGCTGTCTGTGGTGGTGGTGGGCTTATGGTTGCCACCTGGCTCTCCCCTTTCCTTCTCAAGAAAGGAGCCACAGCATTTTCTTTTTTGGAAAATGTGGGGTGACAATGTGGGATGAAGGAAAGGCACAGAAGGAAGGGAGGGAGGAAAGCCAGGCAGGTGCTCGGCATCCAGAGCCAGCTCTTCCCAACCATGCAAATGCAGTCACAGCAGTAGCAGCGAATGCCTGGGGCAAGTAGGTCAATTGGGGAGCCTTCCTTTGCAAAGAAATAAAGAAAAAGTTGTGGGACAAGAGAGAGAGAGATAAGGGAACACTGGGATGGAATTCCCGAGGCCAGAATCATTCAAGGAGAATGCAATGCTTAATCGGGATGAAGAAATCCAAGAGGCCGCCATCTCTCTTTCTATCTTCCTGAGGACTTTCTGGGACCCTGATCCCCAAAAAGGAAGGGAGGGATGAATGAAGAGAGGAAGGAAGTCAAGAATGGGAGGGAGGGAGTAAGGAAAGAAACAAGGGAGGGAGATCTGGAGAGAGGGATGGTGGAAATAAGAACAGGGGCCACAAATAGCCCCAGGGCAGACTTTAGACATGCTTGCCTTACTGAATCTGAGATGAAGTGCTACGTTACTGTAGTAATATGCTACAGTTAATTGTTAGAAAGATGATAGAAATTCACAAGCAATGATTTGATTGTATAATTTTCTCCCCTCTATTGATTGTATGTGATATGTGATATTATGGTTGGAAACCGGTCTGAGTCCCTCAAGAGAGGTGAGAAGATCGGTATACAAAACTTTTAAATAAATAAATAAATAATAAATCACTTACCTATCAAGCCTTTCTCAAGAGTAAATGTTTTGTTGGTGAACATGCATTCAAAAGCCACAATATGGAAAACTTTGTTTACTGTGTTGTGTGTTCCAACTATTCTTATATACCTGTAAGAAAAATAAAACATTTTTAAATGAGAAAGACTCAGATCACACCCTGTAACATGACTGTAATGTGCAGTATTATAAGCAATGTGTGTAATAGTACTGAATAGTTAGTTGTTATTCAGATGGTCTGTTTAACTACAAGTATATAAGTAAGGCACTGTGTGGAGAGAAAAAGCAGGGTATAAACATAAACATAATAATAACAATAACAACAACAATAATAATAGTTTAGCACAATCCTATACCTTGAAAATAAAGTATTTTAATCAGAAGGAAAACATTCCAACATCCATATGTACTATGATACAAGAAACTACATCAATTAACGGGTATAATTATGTTGATGATGACAAATTGATAATTATTAGACTTCCAACCCAGTTTCTTGGGTTAAATTCTCACACAGTAGTTAAAATCATACTTCAAAACTAGATTACTGAAATGCAGTAGCTCCATGTATTATACGAGGGATCTGTTCCAGGTCACTTTGCATAATATGATTTTAGTTTCACTTTTCTTATCTGAAATTAACAGTGTTTTGGATTTCCAGTCAAATAATTCCATAGAATTGCTGTGAAGGCATTTGAAAAAGCTTAAAGAAGCTTTCTCTCTTGGCCTTCAGTATGATTCTGTGGTTGACATACTGAGGAACTTCTGATGAAAGTTGATCATAGAATTGTCCTGGAAGCCTAGAAAGAACAGTTCTCTAGACATTTTCTAGGTCTTCAGAGCAATTCTATTTGTTCCTTCTACACTGTCATATGAAATCCAGATTACCTGCTTTGAACTGAATTATATTTATTTATTTATTTATTTATTTATTTACCTCACTTGTATACCGCTCTTCTCAGCCCTCAGGCGACTCAGAGCGGTTAACAACCAATTCAACAGTACAAAACAGATCATTAGTCAATTAAAACAGCAATATCAATTAATTAACATCAAATAAGGCCTGTTACAGATATGGAAATCCAAGTATGGTCCTATGGCACCAGAAGCCTTCTGTTGCTTGAACAGCCTGGGGATTTTTTAAATAAGCAAAGATAGCCGTGAATTTCACTCTTAACCTTATAGCACACAATTCTGAACCACTGCAAAGTCAGATAGAACACTCCTTGCTAATAGTGACCCAGACACTCTTTGTATTACCTCTGAGACTTCACCTTCTACAAACAAGCATTAACCTTGAATCAATCTACTCCTCTCATTCTCTAAAGGGAGAATGCAAGTTCAGAGGTTAATGAACAGCTGAAGTTACTAATAAAAGTTCTTAAAAATCCTGAGTGGAGTAGAACATATCATCTCAATGGAATTTAAAAAGATAACCAGTAAAACGTATCTGAATAGAATTTCCTGTCCTCCAAAGTGAAAAACATGACTTACTGAATTACCAAGTTTCTACTCAGAAAGAGTAACATTTTAAGAGCAATCGGTGGTGTCCTTACCACCAGATCATAATCCCCAAATCCTCCCAAAATTAATGTTTAAAAACAAAGCAGAACTCCTTAGATAGTGACCGCTGTATGTTAACATGTACTACAAAGCAAAACAGGGATCAGCTTAAATTTACATCATTTAAAACCTATATGATTTTTTTGAGAGTGGGAATGGTGGAAGTTGAACCAATCAGCATAGGGATGGAGCCAAGGAAGGCACTGAGACAGTAAAGATCTATGTTCTCACTGTTCCAGCATCTTCATTAAATCTGTTGTTGTTGTGTGCCTTCAAGTCATTTCCAAGCCTTGGTGGTCCTTAGGTGGACTTATCTTGGAAAGATTTGTTCACAAATAGTTTGTTATTGCCTTCCTCTGTGGCTGAGAGACTGTGGCTCACCTGAGATCGCCGAGTGGGCTTTATGACCCAGTCCAATTTCAAACAATGGCACCACACTGTCCTCTTATCAGAGCTTGTTCCTCTCCCACATTAGTTCTAGAATAGTGGTTCTCAACTTATGGGTCCCTAGGTGTTTTGGCCTACAACTCTCAGAAATCCCAGCCAGTTTACCAGCTGTTAGGATTTCTGGGAGCTGGAGGCCGAAACATCTGGGGACCCACAAGTTGAGAACCACTGTTCTATAAGAAAGCCTTCAATAGGTATAAACCTGCAGATTTTAGTTCTATAAGGCTTGGTTCGGCAATGCATGCTGCATGGAAGTAAATTTATTAGTCAGTGGTGCCAGCTGGAAAAAAAATGCTGTTTCTGCCCAAAGATACAAAGAAGATAACAATGCAGCAGAGAGAGAAGGAAGTAAAGATGAAAACGATGGGGATTGCATCACTAAGAAAGGCACACATGAATTGAGCATCAGATTATTATTATTATTATTTACAGTTCTTATATTCCGCCCTTCTCACCTTGCAGGGGACTCAGGGCGGATTACAGTCAACACATATATGGCAAACATTCAATGCCAGTTTGACAAACAACGTTTAACACACAAATACACCGAGGCTATTTAACTTTTTTCTGGCCGCCAGGGGAGCTGCTGCTTTTCATCGTCCATCAGCGACACCGATGAAGTTCTTCCGCATTCCACATTCCCCGGAGTCTTTTTTCTTTATGGCCTCATAAATTAGTTAAATTTAGCCTCCCACACAAGGTGTTCCCTTATTTTCCTACTTGACAGATGCAACTGTCTTTCGGGTTGCAAAGGTCGACAACGGGCTACACAATGGCTGGACACCCACTCCAGCCCGGGCTGGCTTTGAACTCATGACCTTTTGGTCAGAGTGATCTTAATGCAGCTGACACTCAGCCAGCTGCGCCACAATCCCGGTGGCGCATCAGATAGGTATATGTATAACTTTCTTTCAGTATATCTACAATTATTAAAAACAAAAAAACCCAATATATAGATTTTTTTTGTTGCAGTCTACCTATAAAAGATTTGATTTAAAATTTCAAAAATATACACATGGAAGGACTAGAAGTACAAGCTGAAGTTGACAGTATATAAATAAGATAAAATGTGTTATTTATTAAATACACATTGTGCATATGTACTAGCCAAAGGTACAATACTGCTCTAGGCATAGAACTCAATGATAAAAAAATAACAAAGTAAAGATGACAAAGTTACAACATTCAAAAGTATGGTTTCATTAATTAAAATCTAAATATGTTAAGATGTGGAGATAATAAAGGCACACAAAGAAATGTGTCTCATATATAAATGAGATTTTAGGGTTTCCTTCCATTTTTAAATGTTACCTTCAAATGCAAAATGAGTCTAAGACTTACAGGAAAGGGCATAGCAGATGAGAGTCTTTTACACAATCCCCGAAGCGGCACTGCTTGGAAAAAACAAGTGTGGATATACTTCAGTATCTCCAAGGTCCTCCAAAGCTGCTCAAGCAGATGGAAGATAATTAAACCTCAAACAGGGCTGAAGATGGCAGATACAGAACAGATTGTCCATCTCTGATGAGACTTACATTTTGGCAAGAGTAGTAACATAACCCATTATATTCCCATTCTCTCTGTCACTTTACCAATACTGCAGCACAAGTCTTTTAGACCTGCAGCAAAAAAAAAAAAATGCATGTTGCCATTTTTTAAAAGTAGATAGTTAAAAATACCTGATAGTTCCACATTATGTTCAACCACTATTTGTTTCGAGCATCATATGAAAGACCAGTAGAGCTACCATTTTACTTCCAAAAATACAGATATTCAATTAATAATAGCAGTGATTATTATTTTATACTAGGCTTGTCCAGAACTTGTGTATAAAAATAATGTAGAGTCCAAACACAAAAAGATAACATTGAGACATGAAACCATCCCCATTCCTTCCCTATCACAACCTCTAAGATGGTAATGTATGTTATAAAATAAGGACAGCATTGTTAAAAGGGGGGGGGGGGATGGAACACAAAATCATGCAATACCCTTTCTAGCTCTAAGCAAGCATTTCTCAACCTGGGGGCTGGGACTTCCAGGGAAGGGAGTCACGAGGGGGTGTCAGCGGGGTTGCCAAAGACCATCAGTATTTTCTGTTCGTCATAGGGGTTCTGTGTGGGAAGTTTGGCCCAATTATCTTGTTGCCGGGGTTCAGAATGCTCTTTGATTATAAGTGAACAATAAGTCCCTGCAAATAAAATTCCCATAAGTCAATTTTCCCCAAACTCCACCAATGTTGACATTTGGGCATACTGAGTATCCATGCCAAGTTTTGTCCAGATCCGTCATTGTTTGAGTCCACAGTGCTCTCTGGAAGTAGGTGAACTACAACTCCAAAACTAAAGATCAATGCTCACCAAACCCTTCCAGTATTTTCTGTTGGTCATAGGAGTTCTGTCTGCCAAGTTTGGTTCAATCCCATCGTTGGTGGAGTTCAGAGTGCTCTTTGATTGTAAGTGAACTTTAAATCACAGCAACTACAACTCCCAAATGAGAAAATCAGTCCCCGCAACCCCACCAGTATTCAAATTTGGGCATACTGGGTATTTGTGCCAAATTTGGTCCAGTGAATGAAAATACATCCTGCATATCAGATATTTACATTACGATTCATAACAGTAGCAAAATTATTTATTTTAATGTTTAATTACATAAAACATCTTCAGATTTTACAAATAAATACTTGTCAAATAATTGCTGCCTGGATTCAATCTGTATGTTTTCTTGGGTAGAGGCATGTCTCTTTTTGTTGTTACAGTTTAGTTTATTTCTCAGAAAAAGTCAACTGTGCTCTGAGCTTAAACTGACCTATACTGTCACTGAATGTTTAGTTCCGCATACTCTATTTGACTCCATTTTTTAAACCATCCTGGCTACTGCTCCAGTAATATGGATTGCTAAATTTTGATTAGATGGCCACTTGTTCCTGTTCCCCTTCTTAATTTTTGAAACTATTAGTTGTTCTGTATCAACTGATCTATCACATTTCCAATTAGAAATAAAGATTTCCTGCCCTACCTCTCCAATGGAGTCTCCAAAACTCTATAAGACCGATTCCACGCAGAAACATTCAAAAACATACAGAATCAATAAGGATG